CACACACACACACACACACACACACACACACACACACACACACCTGTATTACACTCATGGTTGACACAAAGGGGCAGCATGTTTCAAGCATTTTATAAAATCGCTGCACCTTAAATCAGTGACAAATTTCTTTCATTAAACATGACCATTTTTACTTTTTGAACAGTCCCTTTTGAACTCTGAAATATTAATAATTCAACAAAATCAAATGAACTCTTTTTGGCCAATATTACGGAAATATAGAGTGCAAACATACACACAAAAATGTACGGCAGTCGTGAGTTAGCTGTTGCGAACAACAGTTACCATTTCAAACACAACACATTCAAACGAGGTGCTTTAATCAAACTCTCAGTGCTTGTTGTACCTTCAAAATACACCTTAACGATTAAAGCACACCTGAGAACCTGTGCACAATGTGCTCATATAGGACTAAAAAGTATCAGAGATGAGCATCTTATAAATAGAGAAACCATCCAGACATAACAATGACACATCAGATCATCCGCACAAGCATTCATCTTAGAGGAAAAAAAAAGTGTTACAATGGAGGTCAGACTAAAGCTGCTGTACATGTTCAACACCTCTGTGGGTGTCCTCCAGCTCTTCCTATTTTAAGAAACACACACACGGGCCCAAAGGCAAGACCACATTTGTTTTAGATTTTCTCTGAGTACTGTATTACTGATCTTTTTTGGAATGACTCCAAACACACTTCGCTAAAATAAATCTCGCCGTCTTACCCAGCACGGTGACTCTGGCCTGGCCAGATAGTCGACCACCCACGGTTTTGGTCTCACAGCCGTACATCTGTCCGTCATACACCTCGACGCTGTTGATCCTCAGTGTGCCGTTCGGGAATAGTTTAAAACGGGAGTCCTGGCAAGAAATGTTCAAGAAAAGCCCAGTTAAATTGTCTAGAAATGTGTCCAACATTGTGGAAAAATGAGCTCTTCTTTTTGTGCGTGTATCTGAATGGCAGCAAGAAAATGACCGGGGTCACAATACGTCCAACAACCAATGTGTTGCAATATATATCAAAGTAGATCAAAGAGGAAGTCAAACATATATCCTGCAAATGTCCACATATCTCCAAAGCCTCATAAGGAGCCCTCACACAGGCCACTGTGGAATGCGACCATGACAACTGACCTCTGCTGTGATCATGATGTTGTTGCGAAGCCATGTGACCTCAGGTTCAGGAGTTGCTTTGGCGTGACAGTGCAGATAACCTGGTTTACCTTCTTCCAAACGACTGTCTTGGGGCCTTGTTACCCACACAGGGGCGGCTGCAGGAGAACACACGTGTATATCACGAGGACATTTAATAGTCCCTCTCACACATGCAATATAATTGTAACAGCCAAGTAATCAACTGCATGACAGGAACCTTGTCCAGACAACTTCGCTTGACTTACTGCCACTAATTATCAGCATAACACAAAGGGATAAAACAATAAAGTGTTGTGCTGTTCCAAGCTAGGCATTATGTATGCACTTGGAATATTTTGCTGGAGTCATAAAAAAACATATATTATTTGTATTGCGTTTTGTATATGCCCTGCATTTCAAAATCTGGCATGTATTGCAAATGCATTGGCAAATGTGATTTATTTGATTGTAATGCACATATTGGACAAGACGGCGGACATTTGACTTCTTTAATTGTTTCTGCTTCAAACTGTAAAGAGGGCTGGCAGTACCAAAACAGAAAGTAGCATCAGAAAAATGTACCGAATCAACCTTGACTATGTGACTCTTATTTCTTAAAAAAAAATAATAATAATAATAATACAAATAATTGCGAATAAATATGTATTTGAAATTGTTTTGGACTCACTGGCCACAGTGAATGTAACTTCTTGTGTCCTGCGGCCTGCCTTGTTTTGAGCTATGCAGGTGTAGACTCCAGAATCGCCTGCCTCCGTTGGGCTGAAGACCAGATCCGAGCCATCCTGGTACACTCGTCCCTCTGTGGGCACCCGCTGACCTCGCCTCTCCCACCAGACTTCGGGCTGGGGTCGTCCCCGTGGGGCGTTGCAAGGAACCCGCTGCAGGGTGTCCGCTGTGAAAACCTTTGACATCTTGGGCATCATGTCATCAATCTCTGTGGTGTGGAGAAAAGAGGTGAAGGAAACATAGCTGTGAAATTCCAGTCATTTTAATTTGGTGATTGAGAATCATCAAATTGTGTTTTGATTCGATTTTGAATACCGTACATCGAGTGCCCTCGCCCACAAGGAGATTTAGCTCACAGATCTGTTGACAGGTTGTCGGTATTTTAAATAAAACTCAAATGTCTCCCCCCAGTATTATGTGGAACAAAGGCAACAGTAGGAGACTGACAATATAGGTTGTTTTAAGTAAGGGAATTAAATTAACAAGGGTCTTTGTGAGGTGAGCCATACCAAAAGTTGTCAGCAGCTATACAATCAATGGAGGGTAATCTGCTACAAAGACTCACAAGACCTCACTATATATAATGTATTTTGCATTACGGGTGATTATAACAATCATTAAAACTTTATTGGCCAAGGAGACCCAAGTTAGTCACCGGCTCCAACCTTTTGCAGTCAATGATCGGAATCAGTTGAATACGAACAGAGGGAAAACGCACATATTTTAGCAGATGAAAGAGAGGCTGAGCTGGGAAAGAAGGAGGGGTGGGCGGTGAAATGAAGGAGGTGGAAGTGGAACTATGATGGAGAGACTGTTTAAACTTGTCACCAAATAATGACTTCTATTGTGACACAAGCCCCTTTAATGCCTGCAGGGATTACCATCAGATTAGGTGAATTAAGGTATTTAAATGGAGCTACGGTTCACTGGGCTAAAACTGTAGATGCAGTCGGATTTCATTTAACCCAAAAAAATAGAGGTTTGGAGTGGGGGTAAAAAGTCCTCGGGATAGTTAAAAGAAAGAAATTCCTGCCTTCAGCGGGTTCAAAATATTTGACTTGCATGCACTTGCAAGACAGTCTGATTAGTACACAGCTTGGCCTGACTTTAAACTGCAACAGTCATTGAAACTTTTTTGGTGGTACTGTTCAGAGCTCAACAGACACCATTATGGGCTACGTCGTATAATAGGCGTTATGTGTCTAGACAATGTTTTGACTCTCGTCTCTGCACTGTTGAGCCATGCAGTTTTTGTTCTCCGTGGGTTCATTACATAATGCAATTTCTTGGGTTGTCTCGATCCGACCACATGATCGGAAATCTGGGCCGATCACATGATATCCAGCTGATCAGTATCAGATGAAAAAGATTGGATTTTTCAGTTTTTTTTATGTAATGTGAAAGCTATCATCTTGGGATATCTTTGTTGGGGGGGGGTGGAAGATAATTGAGACAATTTGGATCTGATCATTTTTCTTCTTCTTAATCACACTGCATTGCAGAGGTATTGGAATGGGACTCGGTAATGGCGGGTACTGTATTCAAATCAACTGACTTGGACTCGGACTCGGGTGCAAAAAAAGCGACTGCGACATCCCTTGTAATCTCAAATATTGGTACTCATGCAGATGAGACATTCTATTAGCATTGAAAAAATCAATGACTAAGGTAAATCAATTTATACGTCACAAGAATACTAGAAGCAGGTTTCTCACCATTTTAAAACTAGAATGGCATTAGAAGCATGAACAATATATCCAAGTGGACATATATCAATTGATGATGCACTTTGTATTTGTAGTGAAAAAAATGTTGATTTCTACATGCTTTGTAATAAGTGCCTCTCTGTACTACTATTTTGAGTAGATGAAGTCCACCAGGTCAATAAAAAAGCAGTTTCATTTTGGCTGAGCAGGATTTGATTATCTGAAAGCTATAAATTCTAAATCTCATAAGGGAATGTCATCTGTTATTCTATACTGATTTTCCCGTGATGTTGTGATCACCTTAAACATGATAGGCAAAACACACGAAGAGGAAGAAGTGAAGTGTTTTGGCATCTTCCGAGTGAGGAAGATACAGCCGGGCCGGATATTGATAAGCAAATGTGATTATCTGGTGAGATATGGCTCTTTGTGAAAGAGCCAACAGAAGGAAGAGCGATAATGTACATAACAGAAATGATATCATACACTCAGATAAAACAATGGGCTTAGGCGTTTATCTCCAAGCAGCTCAACAGCTGCAACTATGGATGTGCGTGGGTATGTGTGCGCGTGCACCTGTGTGTGTGTGTGTGTGTGTGTGTGTGTGTGCGTGTGTGTGTGTGTGTGTGTGTGTGTGTGTGCGTGTGTGTGTGTGTGTGTGTGTGTGTGTGTGCGTGTGTGTGTGTGTGTGTGTGTGTGTGTGTGCGTGTGTGTGTGTGTGTGTGTGTGTGTGTGTGCGTGTGTGTGTGTGTGTGTGTGTGTGTGTGTGCGTGTGTGTGTGTGTGTGTGTGTGTGTGTGTGCGTACCTGCTATAAGTAGTGAAGCCTCATGTGTGACTTGGGAGCCGCTGACACCACGGCCAACACACTTGTACATGCCTGTGTTCCGGGGTTTGACCTGGGTGATGAGCAGTGACCCGTTGGACAGCAGGAACACACTGGAGAGAAAACAAACCCCCATATTTCCCCGCTCAATCATTCTTCACGCAACCAGTGTACCATAATCTGCACCAGCAGCCCAACTGCACAGTGTAATGGGTACCAGGGATCTGGCGTGTTTCCGAAGCATACTGATCCAGGGAAACATCTGGTGCACCAAGTTAGTTGTAATTAAGGCAAATAAAGTACCTCTGCACAGCACACGAATAAGTGTCCTACATAGCAAGTTATTTTTAAAACGTCTTGTGACGGTGGAGGCCCCATCTTAATGGCCCAGGTTGACCTCTGGCAGGCTAAACAGTCATTCAATGGCAGTGACAGACAGGGTGAGAATTAATTACAGGCTGTCCACATCTGGGGTGGCTAAGCGAGGGAGTGGCAGGAACCCAACACACAGCAATGTCGGTGTCATGTCATCTCTGTTCAAAAAGCAGGATGAAAGCAAGCTCTGTGACTCCTGTGTTTTCTTACCAAGTGCAAGTGTGCCTTCACTGGAGAATATATGAAATATAACTCCAAAGACAGCAGTTTTCATAGCAACATAAAATATATACTTAGAAGCGCTATCGGTTATGTGCCTCCAGGGAAAAGTTTTCATACTTGCAAAATTGCCCTGTGGCCATATTGTTTATTAAATTATTTTTCTTTTATGTACACAAAGCAAGACTGGGATGAGTTGCTGAACTGATGACACAGGACTGCATCATTCTGACCTGATCAATAAACATTACACAGGCTACTTGAAGCCCTTACTCTTAACTGTTTGCTGGGCTCCAGAGTATTTTTACTTTATTTTTTATTTTTTTACTATGAGCCGGGTGGCTCCTAACCTGAAATTTTACGGGTGAAAAGTAGAACATGTAGGAGCGCACACAGAACAAAAACTTGCAAAGTAAATCCACGCCTTTCATGTTCACTGCATTACTGATAAATGGGCAGAAGTGCAGAGCAGAAGTCTGTTTAAGAACAGTAAATAAAAATAATAATAGTAAAAAAAAACATCTGCAAATACATTAGCACTGTTGAAAAATTTTGCAGCAAAATGCCACCAATTTAGGGCAGTCTGGAGCCCTGGTTTGAGTGTTAATATTCACACAGCCAAGTCACCGCTACCTTGGTGATGTGATCATCTGCAAGCAGACACCGCAATGAATGTGGAGGCAATACTGCACACCATGTTGACAACCCGAATCACATTTTCTGCAGGGCTGACATGACTAATAAACCATGAGCGGACGACACGAAGCCTCATTCATTTCTCATTTAAACACAGGCAGCTGTAGCAAACCACCATGCAGGCCTGTAAATTTCAACCCAAAAAGTGACTCTGTTTATGGTCATATGCAATTCAAAGACAGCTGCAGTGGCTCTGTGTGACGTTCGGTGTAGCCGCTACAGCAATTTTCAAGTCAGGCAGCAGCAACAGTGCAGTGTGTCCCATCTGCTTGTGACTCTTGTGCAGCGAACCGTGAGGAACATAAACTAACCATAATTATTAAAAAACTTAAATCACCCAGCAGGACAGATTTTTTTTTTTTAAACCACAGCTGGCCGCAGGCTTGCTGGTTGACACATATGATCGAAAGGGGACATGCTGGTAAACTGATTGCAGCTTGAAATCTATTTTTCCGCTCAGTGTGTGAACAGTGGAAGGCTCTTGTGATAGGCTAGAGAGAACACCCACGTTAAAATGAAATACAGCAGATTTCAAAGGAACTTTACAGCGTTTCCGTAATAACATTCCTTAATGTGCAATTCAGCTCAAGCCTGAGCTGCACATCAAAATGGAAGCTAAAAGTATGACTCAAGGGTTCCAGCTTATAGGTCTCAAGGGAATGCACCACAGCTAGGCAGTAAAACAAGTAGAGCTGATGCATATAAGGAAGAATCGCGAGGTAAGGCCAGGGAGCAATGTGGCAACAGGAGGGGATATGTTTCCAGGAAAAAAAAATGGATATTGTAATCAGGATTTACCGAGTTTTATTGACCAGCAGCTCGGTTTCGTGGTACCATTCCAGAGCAGGAGGTGGCACGGCCGTGAACTGGCAGTGGAACACAGCTTCTTCATTCCTCATAACCACCTGGTCCTCGGGAGTGACCACTGGTCGAGGAAAGCTCTTATCTATAAAAGGGATAGACAAACATCTCCATGATTATATCTACATGCATGAGACCATCAAGCGCAACCGCATCTGCGCACTTATTAAAAAGTGCCAACAGCAGTGCGGACCCTCAGGTGCTGGGATGTGTCAACACCTCAGGGGCCCCCAGGTAGTCTTCATTAGGGCACTGGACTTTTCATTGATCCTGGACTCATCAAAACCATTGTTTTGTTATGGCAGCTGGAACACATAATGGGACTGACTGTTGTGCGGGAGGAAAAATCCAGATTGTCAAATTCACAATTTGATGTGGCATGTCATTTTTATTGAACAATCGGAAATTCATTCCATACCTTCTAATACCTGCTTACAATATGAATGAACTTGTCAGTAGTTTGTAATGTAAATGTGGTATTTCCTTCAAAGTTATAGATCTCCAATAAAAGACGATTAGCGATATATTTGAAAGTGGAGCAACTCTACTAGGTCTGATTAATGAGGAGAACACACCACACCACATGACTAAAAACCTTTAACAGTAAATTTAAATATTTAATTCATGGAGATAAAAAATATTATGATATTTCCATTCTCAATTTCCCCTTCTGAGATGGGTCACATTTTATACTTGCCATTGACAACTGACTTTTGCAACCTAGGATCATGTAGTTAAAAATATTTCCTTTGGGTTCAGACTGAAGAAACCACATACAAAAACAAAACAATAAACAGTATGACTGGTTAAATTTTGAAACTTGCATAATCCACATGGTTCACTGGAGATGTTTTGAAACTTAGCATCAGTTTTCTTGGTTATATGCTCAGCCAGTTTAAAAAAGAAAAAAATAGGTAGGAAGTACTGCAGAGGAAGCCAATATAACTTTCCATTGAGTAGGCATGATAGGAGAGAGAAGATGACAGGAGCAGTGGGATTTATGACAGCTCACAAATACGACTGAAATCTTCAATTGAAATGTGTCTTTTTGATTTATTCATTCATTTTTACATATTTTTCCAGGAACCACTGTGATTTCTCATATGCCTGTAGGCTAGTAACTCATTGACAGTGTTCATCAAATTAACGTCATCAGCAAAATTTCCCAGTTGCCACATAACAGTTGGAATTTGTCAAATTAAAGAGACCGTGTTTCATTTCCACATTGTTATATGGCCAGAAGGGTAGTCGATTAAAGGCCATATTAGCCTAGAGAGCCCTCATATTATACACTTGGCCCACCCAGGAACTTTATGGCAAGACTGTTACAGTGTGACTATGTTGAAAACCTGCTCAAATCTGTCAAATCTGCCTCAAAGTGAAGCCCTATGGCAGTACCAATGGTGGATAGGGTAATTGGAAACGCCGTAATTATCCATCCTTCCTGCACCCAGGTGCTAACATTACACGAGTGTGATTGTGTGTGTGTGTGTGTGTGTGTGTGTGTGTGTGTGTGTGCGCGCGCACGCGCGCGTGTGTTTCAGGTGGCTCATTAGTGTGATGCAAGCATCAGGTTTCTCAGACAGATGCTGAATGTACTGTACTTCTCTCTGGGGTGTAATAGTGTCATGCAAGCACACATAAAATGGGGAAAAAAATCATGACAAGGGCAAGCAGTAATACAAATACACTCATGATGCATAACAGTACACATCAGCAGTTTTGTAAACGTGCAGTAGTAATGCAGCTATACGGCGTATACGCCTGCCTATGTTGGTCTGCTCCATTGGCATTTATGATGTTATGTCCATATGTAAGCTGAACACTGCTTCTCATCAAGAACTATTCCCTCTTCCGAGTCGCTCTGAATTGACAATGCGCCAAGAAATGTCAAAAACCAGTAAGTCAGCAAACTGCGTGCACCTACTTGTACACATTGGACATACCTATGATGTTGAGTGTGAAGTTACTGTTGCTGCAGACGTGGCCAGCTGCGTTCTTGGCGCAGCAGTAGAACAGACCGTTGTCATCTGGAGTGGCGCTCTTGATTGTGAGTGTTCGTTCCTTGTTGTTGATCTGATGGCTCTTCTCAGTCAGTTTCACCCCGTCTTTGAACCACTGGCAGGTTGGCCTGAGAGGAAGACATGAAACGGGGATGATGAGGAGGAGTAACAAAAAAAAAAAACAAAACAAAACAACATCGGGCTATGACAGAATTAACTTATTTTTGTCTCGCAACATCCTTATAATAAAAAAAAAGATCTTGAGGTGATCGGGGAGACTCACCGTGGGTGTCCATCAATGTGACAGCGTAGCGTGACGGGGGCTGAGTTCTCAATTTCCCTTTCTGAGATGGGCTCCTTTAATGTCACGCCACCGCTTTCCAACCCTGCAGAAGCAGAAAGGAAAACAGCCAAGACGTCAAGTGGGAGGATGGACAGACAAGAAGTGTTTCAGCGATTGTCAGCATGAGACACAGACTTAAATAGTGTGCTGTTATTCATTGACATGGACATGTAAGACACGGTGGGCCTGCAAGAATGACACCAATGGTGCATCGCAGTGACACAAACGGAACAGAGAATTTTCAAATACACCCCACGCAATGTTGAAAACATTGATGCACACTGTCCATAATTCTTCCAAACATACAATCAAAAGGCAAAAAGTATCATTGGCTACAAATAAAGCTACCGTACAATGGATGGTCAAGTCCAACAGGAGTCAAAACAGGAGTCAAAACAGGAGTAATTCATTAATTGATCATTCCTTCAAACTATAGTCAATACACAAAATCCAAAAGTTATACTTATAATAAGATACAATGATTAGCTCTATGAGATAATTAATGATTCGCTGAACAGTGACCTCTACCATGAGAAAAATAAACTGACTCTTACTACAGTATATTCCTCTTTTGGCAGCAAAGAGTGTCATGAAACATGATTGATGTTTGCCACAGATGAATATGGACATAGAGGGAAAGAAACCAATCCTCAGTTTTACTTGAATGCCTCAGACAGAAAAATCAGAGGTTTTACTTTGGAGTATGGCTGAATGGTGGTCAGGTAATTGCCAATCACGGCTCATTCGCAAGCTGAGCTGTGGTTGGTTATTCCCTGACCACTGAAAACATGTGATGTCATTTTCGGTCGACAGCAAGTGGCAAAATGTGATTTTAAAGTTGTTAATTGTACATGAAAAATAAGTCCTTTTCAGGTTTTTGTTTGTGTTGCCCTCTTCAAAACACTCCTTTAAATGTGCTCATTGTATTTGTATATAGTTTCTCCATTGCTGACATTTCTACAGCCTGTGGCTGACTAGTGTGAGCAACCAGCACTCTTTATAGCATCTATTAAAAATGCATGGCATCACCTGAGACAGCTGTGGAAAGGCAGGAAGAAGCAGACTGCCTGACAAAGAGCAAAGTAGGCTCTACAGGGAGACCTGTCTGGATGAATATGCTATGCTTTCATTGACTAGCCTAAACCCAGCCTTCTTTGAGACCCATACAGTACTCTTTAGCATTATCTAAAGCCAGACCCCCCCCCCGAAAAAAAAATGCACATCTCCGTAAAGTTCACATACCGTATTGGCCCGAATATAAGACGGCCCTCATTATAAGACGACGCCCTCTTTTTCAAGACTCAAGTTTGAAAAAAGACTTTGAACACCAAATTAATTTTTATACAGAAAATAATTACAGTACATCTGAAACAAATGATTATAACAATATATTTGAGAGAAAAAGCATGTTATTTTTCCTCATTCAAATCTTAATATCTGAACATTTAAATATGTAAACTAAAGTGCAATCACATTGGTAAATGAATGGCTTCTGATTTTTGAAATGTAAATTACATCATAACTTCTCCTCAGCTGCCGGTTAACCTGGCCGATCTTCGACCCACTTTTCTCCAGATTGTCGCTACGTTTCTCCATTTTCTGTTATCTCTTCTATTATTTTCTTCTCTTTTCTTTCTTACCGCTATTTTTTATTTTTCTTCTTCGTGCTACCGCTATTTTGATTTTTATTCTTCGTGACAGGGGTTCTCTTTGGCGAGGGGAGTCAAGTTCAGCATTCGCTTCAATAATATCTGGCGTCATCTAGCGTCATGAATGGGTGTAATGTCTAGACCCCGAATATAAGACGACCCCCACTTTTTCAGTCTTATTTCAATGCAAAAAACACCGTCTTATATTCGGGCCAATACGGTACATTTGTGCATCTGTCAAAGACATGTTTGCATGCAGTGATGAGTGAGATGCTGTCGTAAGCAAGAGGAATCATTTCAGTGCCTTCAAGCGGGCTTGTTGTGTGCACACGTCAGAAAGTCTTTGCTAATTGTGTGTCTGAGGCAAGGTCGCTCTTGTGAAGAGGAGTAAGGTGAAGGCTATAGAAGGACCTCAGGGCAGACACACTGAACTTTTCATTGGTGCAAAGGAAGCTGAAGAATTCTAACAAAAACAGAAGGTGTAAACACTGAGTGTCAGCAAGAGTTCACTGCAATAACTATCATCAGCATGTCAAACCTGGTTTGCAAATAAAGGCAGTTGTTTAAACCTGCCCAGAGGTTTCGGATACAGGTGGTATAAAATATATGGGCTTCTTTCTAACACTTTTCCTATGAGTCAGTGTTTTTTTTTTCCCCGGAATGAAAACAACATGACTTGAACAACAGTCTTTAAATAACCAAATTTAATGTATTTACCAAATTTACATTTGCCTTCCTTGAACAGTTCCTACAAGGTTGGGGAAGCACAGAATTATCCAAAGTATCTCAGTATGGTGAACTAAGGCCAACCTCATGATAGATCGATTGTTTACGTTCCGAGACCATCATCATATAAAGATAAACATGCGGCATGCATGTGTATGTCGACGAACCATGCCCTACCACTGACCTCTGTAGACAGAAACCCATTAACAATCACAATGAACCATTGAGAAATCGGGGCTTATGTCCGCTATTCTATTATTTTGGTTGAACTCGATTTCTTGACACTTGCACATTCTCAGCTTAGGTTTCTCCAGCTGTCCACTTGACAAACAGAAGGCAGTCTTTCATAACCTATTAAGAGGGACACATACTTGTTGATAATCCATCCTCAGAATGCATGACCAAGTGTCTAAGTGAGTGAGTGTGTGCCTGCCTGGCCTTAAACACCAAAATTAAGGCTGTACAATTATAATTACGCTGGAGGAGGAATCGGAAGCCAGATCAACTCAGGGATGACAATAGATCAATTGAGACCATATTACAGTTTGGGCAGCAGGTATGTGTGAGCTTGTTTGTTGCTAATTTCTGAAAAAGGGATGGCAGATTGTGCTACACAGGCAAGGTATTCTAGGCTTTTCATTTGAGTGACAGTACCATATGCGTATGTAAATGCAAGTTGGACTCCTGCTGTGAAACAGAGAGATAAATAAAAAATGAAGAAGGCCAGGGAAAAGTGTGGTGTCAGATGTGATCAGCTGTGCTTGACAAAAGGCCAACAGGCCAACCCTTCAAATTCAATCAATTCAAGGAGATGATGTTGCTGTCACATGGTGGAGCACAGGCGTGAGGCCGATGAGCAGCTGCGTTTTGTCAGCTCACGTGAAAATGCGAAACAAAAGTAGGAGGACAGATGGATGAGAGCTAGTGGCCTTGCACTAGTGATCAGAAAGGATGTCTTAAGAGCACACAAAGCTATCTCTTCATAAAATGTAGGTTAGGGACACTCACAGTGATTAGCACAAGATGATGTGTGTGTTTGTTTTTGTTCGTGTGGCTCAGTGCAGGTTTGCAGATTAAATAGGGAGTGCAAAGATTGAGTGCGTTTCTTAAGTCAATTGCCAATGCATGCAACAAATTTCCCAAACGGACTGTCTGCACGTTGCTGCAGGCGTCAGGCAAAACGTCGCCTGCCGGACCAACAAACATGCTGACAAAGGCGAGGCATGGCCCCGACGACTCTGCTGGACGTGGTTTCGCCACGGAGACCCAATGACCAGGCAGGTCAAAGGAACAGAATGGGGGGTGGGCTGAACCCCTATTAGTGAACACAGAGGGGGATAATTACTCTGAATAACTCTCAACTGACAGGATTTGCTTACCCACCATTGAGAGCAAGATAAATTAACTCTCTCGCTCTCGCCACAGGCTGGGGTGGGGGAGTCGGGGGGATAAAAACCGATGGCGGTACAGTACATGTAGAGCACCCTGCCCTTCCCCCTATAGCTCATATTTACTACGATGCACGCAAAGTAGCATACGCATGAGTGAACACTCAAGCAGAATTAGAGCTAGAGGGGGTCTTTAAAAGCTGCGTGTGGTTTTATCACCCGTTAAATGTATGTTGGGGAAATATGAGAGCATTTGTCATAACATGGTCTGATCCAAGTAAAGCGATCCACAGAGAAAAGCTAACGTGCACCTCTTCACAAAGACAGATGAGTTGATACACAAAAACAAGCATGGCACACAAATTAATTCTTTAGGATTCATTACTGATATGAACTGGGGAACATCTACATTGCAACACACTAAGAAGATACAGTGTTTGCCAAGTTATCAGGAAAATACAGCTATATTGGAATAGTGGGCTTTGCATGAAGTCGCAGGCTGAATTTTTCACAATTTTGAAGTCTCAGTTGATACACTTTCAGATTTTTATTTTAATAAGCAAGACATTTTTTTTTTTACTTTGCAGGTTCTTTAAGTCGACTGAGGGTTGACCAACTTCCTAGAAGAGATTATGTTTGATGTGGAAGGTTTCAATTTACCCTTACAGGACTGCACTGCACTGCTAATTAATCTCCACACATCCCTTTGCACAGCAATGCAAAAGCACTGCCAGTCAAAAGGGAAGAATTAATTTTCTATCTATGATGTGCTTTCTCATTAATCTGATGTCAAGCAATCGGTTTGAAATTTTCATGGAAAAGGTTAACCAGTCATGTGTGAATATCACTGAAGAATGCCTTTAAGCCAGCATTGTTCAGCCAATGTACTGCAATGTCACGGCAGCGGTTTAACTATAATATAACAATCTTCATTGTTCATTTGCTTTTAAAAAAGTTGGCTAATATTAGATTCCATATTCATAAATAGTTGAGTGTTTCAAAAATGAAAGTAGGATTTCTCACTGGGATTTCCTCTGAAAACTGTTGTCTATATCTGGAACCTGCAGAAAAAAACAGGAACACTCTGTGGCAGCTAGTATAACTCTGAACGATGCTTGACCTCCCACACAATCTATGCATCCATTGCTAACGAGCCCCGTCTACATCAAACTATCCATCCATTATACAAACCACTTCGGCAGATTCGAACCCTGGACCTCAACACTGTGAGGCGGACGTGCTAATCAGTCGTCCGCCGTGCTGCTGCATCAAACTAAAACGATGAAATTGGCCGAGTGTTTGAGTGATCTGGGTGGGCTTTTTATCTGGTTTACTCTTTACACTGTGTGAGGAATGCACTTCACTCTTCAAGAGGGATTACACTCAGCTATACTGTATACAAATGGGAGGTGGGGGGTCATCCAATGCATGGAAATGCTAATGCCACCAGATATAGTTGCTGATTAAACATGTCAAGAGAACTGGTGTTTCATGTCCAACTTGTTTGATAAGCTTTATTAAGATAGTGGATCATCTTTAATTAAAACACATTAAAGCCGCCTCTTTCCCTTGAGAGAAGCTTTCGAAAACTGATGAGTTTCTTATGACAATGACACGATGTGCTTAACATCACAGGCCACAAATATCTGCTCGTGGAGATGCAATGCAGAAGTGAGGTTCACCCCTATCCCTCCGTGTTTAGGACAGACTTTCAGTTTGCAACTAGGAGGTCTTGTTTGATTGTAATCATCCTTTGAAAATTGACACCTGCCACGCAACCGCCCCAAAAAACAAAGGCACATTTCTGCTTAAGTGTAATGATAAAAGAGAAAGGCAGTATTTCAAATGGAAACTTCAGCCGTAACAACTAGTACCAAAGGCTGCTCCACAATGTGACCAGCTTGTTATTTATCACTAAACAGGATTGCTATGGCTTTCTTTTCACCAATGATGTTGACTATGCTGCAAATGAAGGCAATGCAAGAAAAGGGTTTGTCGTTGATCAAAGTCAATTACATCGCTAGAAGGTAAAAGCAACTCTGCAACATTTAGACTAAACACACATGGGAAAAGAGCATGTGATGCAACATGGAAATAAAAATTTATTACAAGCAACAAGAAACACATGCTCGGTGGCGCTCATCTCCAGTTTCAATTGGGCAAAGGAGAGGAAGCCTCAAAGAAAAAGGCAACAAAGTGGAACCATTCCCTCAACTTTTTAGCCGCCACCTACTGCGACTTTTGTCTTGCTTTTCTGATCCAGAAACTGGACAAACATCCTTTTTGCCATCATGAAACCCTGTCAACTGGTCATTTTCACACAGGAAAATGAGGTGCTTTCAATCTAAAATGGAACACTTACATTTGATGTTGAAGGAGGCATTCGTGGAGTGGAGCACCTCGCCCATGGCAGTGTTCTGTGCCACACACTCAAAGTTTCCTGCATCCTGTCGGCGGTCCACAGTGATGAATTTGAGATTGCTGCCCTCCTGGTGCCTCCTCTCGCTGTTTTCCAGGGGCTGCCCATTGTGGAGCCAGCTGTAAGTGATGTCAGTCGGATCGCTGACCTCACAGCGGAGCATGGCGCTACGGCCATGCAGGGCATCCTGAGACTTGGGCTCCCTGGTGAACTGGATGGCAGCAGTCCCGGTGGATAAAACTGAGAGGAGAAAAGACAGACAATAAATAACAGGGCCAATCGACCTTGTGTGAGAATGTTTCAACATTATCTCAATTTAGAGGGGGCAAAAAGGGTTTAAATTTATGAAACCATGGGTTTTCCAATCTAATATGCAGCCACACACGCACATGCACACACACGCACACACACACAAACTCACTCACTCACTCACACACTAGTCTTGTGCCATCACTTTATAAAGACAGCTCTCAAATGCGACACCAAGTGTTGCACACACATCCTCACGCACACTTGAATCTTTTATGACGCATCGACCAGGACTGAGAGATACGTCTTTTCTGCTCTATTTAACCACATCTCACTGCAGGGAACGAAAGGACTGAACCCTGAGCCAAAGCTCCAAGAACACAATGCAACCGCCGTCATTTTAATGTGCAACATCATGTTCCTTGGTAGCGGTGGAATTAGTTTAACTCGGAACAGAGCATGCAAATTGAACAAGTCTTGTACACAGGGTGTATTTCAGTTTACTATGGACTTGTCACAACATTGAGTACAGCTACACAAGACAATGAGATTCCATGCAAGACGCTGGATTGGCTCTTTCAAAGATAATGCTCAACCGAGTTCCACGATGAACAGTATGTTTATTATTGCTCTCGTAGATTGCAGCGGCGTAACCTTATTCAGCTGCGTAATACAAACATCCGTCAGTGTCAAGTCCACTTGGTGTTACTATGTTTGAACTCTAGCAATAATCTCTCTTCATGTTCCAACACCTACCACAATGGACCCCTATCATGTGTCAAGGCAGTCCCCATCTGCCAGTTAGCATACCTGATGTCAAGTTTGTTATCATAAGGAACGGTCTATTCCTAAGAAGCGATGAAGCGTACCGACCAGCAATGTGTGGGCGTTGTGTGTTATGGGGGAGGGATGTGTCTGCACGTATTGAAAAACTTGAGACTGGAGCCAAGCCAAAAGAGAAATGTTTCAATAATATTAAATCAAAGAGCTTGTTGAAACCAAGACAATACCTCAATGTTTGACCCTCATCAGTCCTTACAAAGATTGTCCGTTGGATTTTAAGAAAAAAAGTCTATTCTGCAAAATGGCACTAAGATCATCCATTGATTTAGTATGCAAGGTGAGAAGACATTTTCTTTTTTTTTTGCTACTCATAAGCGACAGTCTCTTCCTTATTCCTATTTATTTTCCATGTTCTGATTGAAATGGCTTTCGGTAGGCAAAATACTAGTGTTCCAGTTTATGCGCTTGCCCTGGCTGTGAAGCAAATAAAGCCCTTCAGCGACGTCTTTCCATGACGCCGTTTGGTTTAAAAAGCAAGAATAGCTGTGGCAATTTTTTGGCAGGCAGGTCTGGCAGACAAGTGGGGGTCACAGTCCAGCAGGCTTTTCTTCAGTGGCAACTCAAGTGTGGCAGACCGATTTACAAATATCACAAGGACACCCATTGCCAGATAATTTACACTACGAGCAACATTTCTCCCCTCAAGTTGTGCCTGTGAAGTTGAGGTTAGGTCAACTTTGGCTTTACATGGTTATATCAAAATTGTGAGGAAATCTGATGACACGAGGAATCGATTTGAAGGTCCAAATAATATAATTGAGAAACAGTTTCGTGCCGATCGGGAAAAACAAAACAAAACAGAATGGCACTCAATAGGAAGCATAAAAAATGTACATGGCTCATGTACATGGCACCTACAACACACAGAATTAGACATTCATACCTCCAGCATACACCACACACCACACTGGCCTAGAAACAAGAGTTCATAACATTGCACAGTACATGTCTCTCGACTCATTAAAAATGATTTGCTAATTTTCCTCATGGTCAATCAAGGAAAATCAGTCACATACCCATCGGGAGTTAAAAGAGTGAGTTTGGGCATCCTGCCACGTGCAACTCTCTTAAGAGGCTGTGAATTTGATCTGTATAAAACGAGGAAGAGAGAGCATCCTAACATTCACTTCAAATAAGTACCGGAAAGCCTCAATGCCAAGCATGCTGCTGAGTTGTGAGACAGCCAAGTTCCCCCCAGGCTGAGCCGCCTTGGCCAAGTTTTTGTACATGCAGTATGATACTCTGTGTGCATTTTGAAATGGAGTGCAAGAGCTGTGTAATGACGTTTACTTCATACCTGTTGACGTAATGTCTGTGTATATATGTGAGAGTGTGTTCCTGAGTGCACAAAGGAGAATGAGTTCCGGGAAAAGTCCCTGCAGAGAGAGACAGCACACAAAGCTGAGGTGTTTTCGCCAACCACATGATGAGTGACGAGGGGAGGAGAGTGATGAGACATAGGGAGGCACCGTCTATCACATTTGAGGATGTCTGCAAAGTTCACAGTGCTGCAGCTCAAACCAAGAAGAAGGTCAGGTGCACCGGGCCGTGACCTACATCTTTGGAACATGCACTGATTGTCTCATAGGGGCACCCAAAAACGCACTTTAAAAATAGACACGTAAATAAATGAATATACACAGGACCGCTGGTATTTGTGGGGGGTAGGGACCAGGCTGAAAAATCTGCGGGTACCGAACCAGAAGTATGGTTCTACTGTATTGCTGGTGTCGGCCGGAATACCCATATACTGTATCTCTGAAACCATTAAAACTCATGTTTGTTGATACCCAGTGACCAACAGTATCGACTTGTGGAAAAAATATGAAATTCATCAGATTTGGACAAATGAGGTTTCGGGATGACTACAGCGAGACACAAGTGACAACTGCAGCATCAGTGAATACAATGATTCTTTCTTTGCCTGTGCAACCACTGTAGATCGAAACCTGTAATGTGGCTCATGATTTCCCACTGAGCACACAAAGGAATGCTTGGACTGAGTGCAGAGAGGGACAAACAAAGAGATAAGCAGGACAAACAACAGCCTAACTTCTGAGGGAGCTTCAAAGTGGGAAGAGTTGAAAGGGAAATGTTCAGTGATAAAAAAGACAAACCAGGACTACGATAACCACTATTATAAAGCACTATGTTAAGAAAACTGCAAGTACAAATCCAAATCACAAGATGTCATCCACGTTGTTCTCAGATAAGGTCCAGATGTCGAAATTTAGCATGCAAAAGTTAATACAATGCCTTTTTTAATGATTTCAAAACAGAATCCAGTCATTTGTGGCAAACTGAGAGTAGTGCTATAGTTCCATAAAATATATATATGTCATCAGGCGGTTGAGTGACAACTTTAGGATTCTTTCGTGACAGCCCTCGGAAGCGACCCGTGCAATGACCCCTCCCTTTGTTTCCTTAATCTGCTGCTATGGTGACCCAAAGCCCAGAAAACTAATGGATGGGAAAATTGGCTTTGCAACTACAAAAGCTGAGTGGGTACTCCTGGATATTATAGGGATCAATATGCACTTTCCGGGAATTGTTTACAATAATACACTAATGCACCAGTCAGAGAAGCAGGTCCAATACATTATTAACATCCAGTCCGATGAAGGTAACTGACAACAAAGTGGAAGTAAGTAAGTAGGTTGAAGACGAATGTCTGATACTGAGAGGATAAAATGTCTGCACACAGGGATTCTCCTCTTCCGATTCAGTGCACCGAAGCCTGTCTTGGCTGACTAAAATATCAGGTGGAAGTCACCCTCAAATCGGCGCGTTGCATGAATCCACTGCAAAAGCATAAGCATGAGTCGATATCAAGTTCACTGGTGCTTGTAGGCAAATGACAGAAGTTGTGGAGTTCATGTATCTGAAAAAAATGCACAGCACCTCAAAGAAAATTGAATAAAAAAAAAAAATGTTAAAAGCATGGGAGGAATGTTAAGGATGTGATTGATTTGCACTTAATGCCGGATGCTTGGCTCACTAAAGTCCAACGAGTGGTTTGCCTGTGTCCCAAAGTCAGCTAGGATATGCTCCAGTCCCAGTCATGACCCTGATGATAAGTAGCGCAGGGAATGGGTGCGTGGATAGATTCATTGAGTGACAAGAGACATAAAAATGACAGGCTCACTTCCATCGTGGAGACAATTGGAATAATAAAGACATCTGTCTCAACAAGTTATGACACAGTGATGAAAACCAACGATGCATTACCCATATCAAATACCAACTGTATGTGGGTTGCCTCAGTGGACCATGTCAAAGCAAGGCACATGCAGAGGATGGTTTTCAAGTGACAAGATGGTGGAACGGAGTCTTGGCTTGACAGATATCAGCCATGCTGAGGCATTGACTGAAATAACCACAGTCGCCAGATGTTTATCTCTCGGACATTACAGTCACTGTCACCCAGTTCTAAAGGCAAGCAGATTACACCGTTGTTTACACCAGCGGCAACATTGTTAGCCATCCCGTCAAATACCAAGAATATCAATCGCTCGCAAAGATTTTCTGCCACTGACAACAATGAACGAACACCAATAATGATCATGTTTACATTTTCAGGTCATTGTTCAACCAGCAGCAGAATCAATATCACCGGATTAAATAGCAGCATGAGACCAGACAGCAGACCTCTTCTGAAATGCACAAACAAAATGGACAACATGTGACCGAATACGAAACATAAAAGGAGCTCAGAATTGGACCTCTGGACTTCACATCAATATCCAACTAATCCTAGAACTATATAAGATCTCTGAAGAGCTGAATTCGGAGGCAGAGGCAAATATCTTTGTTGGTTTTGTGCCTATTAGGAGGCTGGACAGGGGGCTTTTACTGTGAGCACTGAACGGAAAAGATCCTATCCATTTTTTTCAGAATGCATGGGAACACTAATGCATCTAGCTCTGGGAACTATGCTCTCTTTAAAAGCATCTCCACGTCGCTGGAGTGCCAAGAGCAGCGGATAGGACAGTGAACAACATGGTCAAGAAAGGACATCGACTGCCTGTGGCCAATGAATTCTAACTGGAGCATTGAATGATGGAGCTATTGAATGAGTGAAGAGATGGTTATAACTATTGTCACAGTCAGATAGTTAGCAAGATGCAAAGTTCTGCTGCTGCACTGGA